CAGGGATGAGGCAAAAATGAACCTCTCAATCTCGGCAGACACTGAAGTAGGGGCATAACGTGGAAAGTGCTCCAGCAGCTCAGCTTCAAAAAAGGTAGTAATATGTCAAGCACAGAACACCAATCAGACAACCACAAAGTCATTTCTTTCTCAAGGGAGGTTGTCGATGGCTAGCAGGAACTCAAACATCACCTTTCAGCCACCCCAGAAATCACTCCCAAGACTTTAGAATCTACAGGAAAGAAGTACAAGCCCTACGTCTGCCATCCACACAGGATGGAGCGAGTCATCACTTGGGCAAGTTTCCAGTCAAAGGACTGAATGCAAGCAGGACTGCAAGTATGGTACAAGGTTCTCATGCTAATCTTGAGTGGCCTGACATATCCTCATGGAAAGGGCAAAGGTATTTAAGCAGAGACCAGTACTCTCTCTCGCATTATCACTCTTTTCTCCTTTAAGTGCCAGGCTTCACATCCTTGTAAAGTCTTCTGTATCAGGGAATAAAGTAGCATTTGGCAAGAGCTGTACCACAACTGACTACACCTCACAAGGAACCTGCAGAAGAGGAAGCCTAGCATACCCAAGTCTGCTCCATCCTTTTCTCTCTCTTAACCATGACAGACACGCTTATACACATACCTAAAAGGGAACGTGCTTGTTCCCACATCCACAATATGATACAGATTCACTCAATAGCACTAAATGGGTTATTTACTAAGCATGTTACAAAGACGTCAACAGAGTACTTACAATAAAGTCTTGGCTTATGCAATCGCACAGTGTTTTCCTACCCAGAAAAGGTATCCCAGAAAGAAATCCGGTCAATAGTTAGCTATTAAACACATGAAAAACTACAGGACCATCTAAGTTTATGAATGGTTAAGTCTCTCCCACTAACATGAGCTTGCTAAGCCCAACACAGTAATACCAAGCTGAAAATTAAAAAGCTTCTGCTGCAGCAAAGCACCAGTTTTCCTACAATTATGTTTGGGACACTTTTATGTTTGACCTGTGTAGCTCTCAGGGACAGTAGGCACTGAGTCCAAGCTCTCAGTTTCAGGTTTAATACCAGCCAGTGGCAGAAGTCTAAAAATGAACTGCAAGTGTGTCGCTGCAATCCATCTCTATTAAGAAGCTTCTATTCCTAGGAGGCATACCAGATAATCCTGAAGATACCTGGACAATCCAAGAAAAATAAATTATGTATGCATGCGGACTGAAAGAAGAAAATGGAGTGTCACATGAGCACAGCAGAAAAAGAGGTTTTTGTCAGGGAGAAAAGCCAAAAGGGACCAAGGCAAGTATAAGCTTAGATAGCCTGTCAGCCTCCATCTCTCCCTCCTGTGACTCCCCTAACCTTACGCTGTGGGTCCTTTCTCTATGCCTCTCTGCCATGAGATAAGATCCCCCTGTTAAAAGTTTATTTTCAGCTCCTTGCAGAGGCTAAAGCCTCACCTTTGTATATGTTAGGAGAGCAACAGGGGAGTGGTTACAACTGCAGAGAGGGATTCAGCTCAGGTAGGAAAGCAGTACAACTTGCAACACACCAGGAGACCCACGCTTGCGATATATACACAGCAGCAGCACGAGAAAGCAGATTGTCACGGTCCCTGCAGCACTTAAGGACAGAAGACACCTGAAAATGCCCACATCGGTTACACAGTGCAGGAAAGAGCAGAGTGGTACTAAGTTTTCTCTTGCGCAAGTCGTTCAACCAACAGAAAATAAGTATCCTATGGAACAAGCCACACTTATCCTCCACCCTCCCCATCCCAGCCATCTGACCCTGGCAGCAACATCACCCTTCAGGTATATCAAAGCATGACCATATGCGGTATCCACTAAATGTTCCATAAAGAAGCAAACTTTGGGGAAGGTAAGCATTCTCTAACTAGTTAAAATAGGTTCGTAGTTAAAAATTTGACAGCAGCACTTAATTTTAAAAGACTACTCTGAACTTTCACAGCAATTACACACTTTGCACTACAGAAGATCCCTGTCTAGGAAAGATTACTGTCAATGAACTCAACACAATCCTTTTTTACATTTGAAGTTTAAGCAGGAATACAACAGAATATATAACAGTTCAGCTGGAAGGGACCTACAAGGATCATCTGGTTCAACTGCCTGACCACTACAGGGCTGACCAAAAGTCAAAGCATGGTATTAAGGGCGTTGGCAGATGCCTCTTAAACACTGACAGGCCTGGGGCATTGACCACCTCTCCAGGAAGCCTGTTCCAGGGTTTGACCATCCTCTTGGTAAAGAAATGCTTCCTCATGTCAAGCCTGAACCTCCCCTAACAGATGCAGCTTTGAGCCATTCCCAGGCGTCCTGTCCCTGGATCCCAAAGAGAAGAGCTCAGCAGCTCCCTCTCCATGTCCCCTCCTCAGGAAGCTGCAGAGAGCAATGAGGTTGCCCCTCAGCCTCCCTCTCTCCAAACGAGACAAACCCAGAGGCCTCAGCCGTTTTTCACAGGACATGCCTGCCAGCTCCACCACCGGCTTGGTTGTTGTCCTCTGGATGCATTCAAGGACCTGAACATCCTTCTCAAACGGTGAGGCCAAGCACTGCACACAGCACTTGAGGTGAGACCGCTCCAACGCTGAATACAGCGGGACAACCCCGTCTCTTGAGCGGCGGGTTTTGCTGTGTTTGATGCACCCCGGAATGGGGTTTGCCCTCTGGGCTGCCAGGGCTCACTGCTGGCTCCTACTGAGCCTGCTGCCCACCAGCACCCCCGGGGACCTTTCTGCAGGGCTGCTCTCCAGCCACTCCTCTCCCAGTTCATCCTTGTGCCCAGCATTACTCCCTCCTAGGTTTAGAATCTGGCATTTGTTCTTGTCTATTTCATGCTCTTGATGAATTCCCAGTGCTCCAACCTATCTAGATCCCTCTACAAGGCCTCTTGTCCCAGGGGAGAATCAACAGCACCTCCCAGTTTAGTATCCAATGAACAGAAGTTTATAATGCGAACTTCTAAAGTAGATATTGTACAACAGTAAACTTACTATCTCAGTGGACTCTTTTCTCTGCTCACAATTCTTACGTGTACATATCCCATTGCTGTGTTACTCCTTGTTATTATGCATTGTATTAGGAGCTTAAGTTTAGCTGATTGTTAGCGTGACCTACAAGTTCTTCTTGGTACCCACCTCATACAGCGGAGGTTCTTTATAAACACAAGCCTGAGTTGTTTTGCATTTCAGTATGGTCAGCTGGATGCTTTGAGTCTGTACCCAGTCTACCAGAGTTAAAAACACCGTCCATTGGAAACTGGTTTCTTTCTCTTAGTTTTATTATTTAGTATTGTGTTATCAGTAGTTATTTCCTATAGTATAGTGTTTAATTCATTTCACTGTTGTGGATGGCAGAACATTTGCATCGATTCTCATTAGCATAACACTGTAGATGAAATTGAGTAAATTTGATTGCGTAAAAGTGGCTGCCAAGGGGGAAGGGATTTTTTTGTATTTATGTATGGTGGGAGGCACCCCTTCCAGCTGAGGGGAAACTTTATCGCTCTCTACAATGACCTGAAAGGAGATTGTAGTGAAGTAGGGGTCGGCCTCTTCTCCCAGGCAGCTAGTGATAGGACAAGAGGGCATAGCTTGAAACTGCGCCAGGGGAAGTTCAGGCTAGAAATTAGGAGGCATTTCTTCACAGAAAGCATCATTAGGCATTGGAATGGGCTGCCCAGGGAGGTGGTGGAGTCACCATCCCTGGAAGCATTTAAGAAAAGACTGGACGTGGCACTTAGTGCCTTGGTCTAGTTGCCATGGTGGTGTTAGGGCAAAGGTTGGACTTGATGATCCCAGAGGTCTCTTCCAACCAAATTGATTCTGTGAAATAGGATGCTGGTGGGGTCCCTAGTGAGGGAAGAGAAAGTGAGACAATATGAGTAGGAAAAGCTGTGAAATAGGCAGGACTTTGAGGTGATAGAAGTGGAAGAAGGGTCTGCATTTGCTAGCCAAATCTCTGTATTAACTTTTACCTCCAGTGGAGAATTGGATCAGCTGAAAGTGAAGTGATTCTGGGTATGTGGCCCATTGATGGTGAATAGTAATGGTTGATGGTTGGCAATTAAAAGGTAAATTCTACCCTCTGTCTTCTGTAAGTACTTTGAGATAGGAATCCAGTTTTATCAGTGTGTGCTGCCTGGTGCGGTAGGACTTTAACCGTGACTGTAACTTCTGCATGCCTATGAAATAGCCTGTAAAAGGCATTACAGAACAGCAAGATGCCCTAGATGTTGGAGGAAGGAACCCATCTACATCTTTGAATGCTGCTACATAGCTAAGGAAAAACAATATTATGGTAAACTTTGGTTCTGGGAGTGTTGTTCATCTTGTATCTATGCAGGTCTTTTAGCATTAAGTACTTCCACAGCCCTAGCCGTTCTTGTGCTAGGCTTTAAACTCTTGCTTTGTCAGGTCCCTTGCCCTTACCTTGTTGCTTTCTTAGTGCTCGTCTATGTCTTTAATATTAGGTGTGGACGTACTTGTGCTGGGTTAACTTTTGCATTTATTAACTAAAGAAGTTATTGTAGCAGTTTCAATTGTGTAATCAGTTCCTAAGTCTATTACCAACTTGTGGCTTTCCCTTTGTTTTTCTCTGCTTGGATTGATTTCCTGTCTCTGAGTTTCATGTCTCCTCACCTTTCAGAAAATTCATCCAGAAAGTTGTGTCTGAGTTCTTGAGACTATTTTTTTGTATCCCTTCTGTATAGTTGGAGGGGTTTTTTGTGGTTAAATGAACTACAGGTGTCATAAAACCTAAAAACCTATTGTGTTGTTGCCAAAAGACAGCTTTTACTATAAAACAGCCTCTGTGCAAAAGAAGTTTTCCCTCAAATAGGCCTAGGGCTTGCTGCTTACGTGGCCTACAATGTACTCATGTTTTTGTCCAATTCCTGAAATATACGTGCACAATCCTGTCCTGGAATGCTCATTTAATTAAAAGTTAATGAGCAAAGTTCATAATACTCAAATGAAGGAAGCATGGTAACGATTAGTCTTACTGGCTTAGAACTCACATCTGTCTCCATCCTTCCCATGCAGGTGAATCAGCGCAATGTCCCAGGGATCGATAGTGCCTACCTGGCCATGGATACAGAGGAAGGTGTGGAAGTTGTTTGGAATGAAGTTCAGTTTTCTGAGCGGAAGAACTTTAAGCTTCAGGAAGTAAGTTGATGTGTTTCCCAACAAGATGTGGGAAACATACCTTGCACCAGAGTGGGATTATAGATATTGGTGACCTCTCATGTGGATTATTGGCTGGATTTGGAGTGCTGTGCTGCTCATATGTAGCAAATTCAGCTTAAGCTGGCCTGTGCAGAAAATCATAGAATCATAGAATCATTATGGTTGGAAGAGACCTCAAAGATCAAGTCCAACCTTCTTCCCAACGCCACCATGCCCACTAAACCATGTCTTGAAGGACCACATCTAAATGGTTTTTTTTTGAACACCTCCAGGGATGGTGAGTCCACCACCTCCCTGGTGAGCCTGTTCCAATGCGTAATGACTCTTACAGTGAAGAAATTCTTTGTAATATCCAACCTGAACCTCCCCTGGTGCAACTTGAGACCGTTTCCTCTTGTCCTATCCCTAGTTACCAGGGAGAAGAGACCAACCCCCATCTCACTACAACCTCCTTTCAGGTAGTTGTAGAGGGCGATAAGGCTCCCCTCAGCCTCCTTTTCTCTAGACTAAACAACCCCAGCTCCTTCAGCTGCTCCTCGTAAGACTTGTTCTCCAGGCCCTTCACCAGCTTTGTTGCTCTTCATTGGGCGTGCTCCAGCAGCTCCATGTCCTTGTAGTGAGGGGCCCAAAACTGAACACGGTATTCAAGGTGCAGCCTCACCAGCACTGAGTACAAAGGGATCATCACTTCTCTAGTCCTGCTGGCCAAGCTATTTCTGATACAGGCCAGGATGCCGGAGATGCGACAGAGAACTGTTGTGCCATTTTCATGGGCTCTTGTGTTGATTTAGTCTTGGTGATCAAACCATGCTCAGCTAAGGTGCGCTGCAGGATGAAATCACATGCCGTTTGTCCTTAGCATAGGAGCTTGAAGTGTACAGTGTTGTTTAAGAGGACCAAGACCCAAGAAGAGTGTAAGATACGGGCTGATGAGATCTCTGGTATAACATCTTTGTCTTTCTGATGTTAAGGAAAAAGTTAAAGCAGTGTTTGACAACTTAATTCAGCTGGAACATCTGAACATTGTGAAGTTTCACAAATACTGGGCTGATGTGAAGGAGAATAAGGCCAGGGTAAGTAAAGCAAACAGTCTGTCGGGTTTTCTCGCTGTATGCCTTAGGTAATTAGTGAAGCAGAGGGTAATGTCTCATATTGCCCCTACAGGTCATCTTCATCACGGAATATATGTCTTCAGGGAGCTTGAAACAGTTCCTGAAGAAGACAAAGAAAAACCACAAAACTATGAATGAAAAGGTAACTCTTTTTTTTCATGTATGCCTGTATTCACTTTGTGCCATCAGCCTCTGGAAAGGTCTTTCAGCAGAAGATCCTGACGAGAAGGTAACCTGGTGATAACATGTGGCTGCAATTGCTTTTTATTACTGTAAACTAGTTTAGTTGCAGGTTCTCTTGGACAGCTGCTCTGTGCTGTTTGCTTTGTTTCCAGCAGTGCTGCAACTTCATATGTATGGTGTGACAGGCATGACCCTTTCCACATGTGCATATGGGAAAGAGAGAAGGTGTCTGTGCATGAAAGGAGTTAGGAGGGGAGGTGTGTTTCTTAACCCATACAAACATGTAGAAACTAAACTGAGCATGAAAGTACTGATCCCTCTAAGTTCTTACTTCCTACACCTGTATGGGATGGAAGCTAAGATGCCACAGAATGGAGTGTGTATTCCTTCATATGAATGGGCTATGAATCACAGAACTATGGATTAGTTCCTCTTCCTTGGATGATTATCCTTTTTGCTCCTGTGTCTGTAGGCCTGGAAGCGATGGTGCACCCAGATCCTCTCTGCTCTCAGGTACGTGACTTACTGACCTTGCGGTCTAGCCATCTGTTTAAGTGTAGCCTCTCTTGTGCTAGAATATTAAAAGCTGTAAGCATACATGCTGCCAAACCTTAGCAAGCTTCATAGAATGGAGCTTGGAGAGCACTTTCAGTCACCCAGCCTGATTCTTATCCCAGTCATGGTCTGCAGAGTGTCAACTGCACTTCCTATAGCAATCCCAGAGTCTTCAGTTAGACAATATTGAACCTTTATAAACAGAGAAACAGGTGCGATGTAGGTTTTAGAGCCCAACAGTTGTGGCTGATATGATAGTGTGGGGGCTGAGCATCAGGGAGCTCTCCAAAGTATCCGACTTTATAACCTGGATCTAGCCATGGCCAAGAGGATGTTGCAAAGAAATCTTAGAGAAATTAAATTCCACATGAGAGGAATGAGGAAAATTTTCTTAGTCTTGGCAGGCTGCAGCCCTGTAGCATGGAGTGGATTCATAATTATTGTGATGTGATACTGTTAGAAGTATATGTAGATCTATAAATTTCTTGATGATGCAGATCTTCTGCAGCCATCTTAGTCCAATGTAGTTGGATAGAATGTGGGTTTTTTGTTTGTTTTCGTTTTAAAGACTCTTCTCTACCTGAGCCAGAGTTGGTGTGTAACGAGTAACAGTCTTGGAAAAACGATAACCCAGATGTCAGAGCACGACTCCCACTCCATAGAGAAAATTTTGTTGCCATTTGGCTCAGTATAGCTGTTGATGGATAGTTGGGGTTCTAATAAGCTTTTGGGAGCTGACAGTCCTTATTTGTGCTGGCTGCTAACATAAAACCAAGCAGAGTGAGGGGCAAAACCAGGAAGCCTCAAATGTTCCTGGGACCCTAGCACTGAAAAGCTTTATTTGTTCCTGCTGGAAAACATCACCAATCACGTTTGTACAGCACTGAGTGCCTTTTTGATGCCCAGTAAGGCCAAAATAAGGCTCTGGTATTTTTGGTATAAAATTGGAACCCTTTTAGCACCCTCCTAGCAGTATTGGGGTAGATGAAATAGTTTCTTTAGCCCTGGTACCATGGGTTTCTTGAACTGATCAGAAAAAGCTTTCTTTTTTTCCCCCCGTGTTCTGGAGATTGATTGTTAGAGACAATTGCTTAATTTTAATTATTCTCTCCTAGCCTAGAGGCTGATGTACAGTCACTTAATTGTGCCTCCCTGCTATTGTAAATCCCTGGTGTGTGCCTTTTGCTCTCCTGTTCTCTTCTGATGTTGCTTGAGACAGGGAAGGGATGAAGGGAGGGATTCCTGGCCTCAGCCTCAGTAGTCTCCTGACCAGTGCTCTGTTCTGAATCTCTAGCTACCTCCACTCCTGTGATCCCCCAATCATCCATGGTAACTTGACCTGTGACACCATCTTCATTCAGCACAACGGACTGATTAAAATTGGATCAGGTAAGGCTTGTTGGAGGTCACTCTTGCCTATGAGACAAACTGCTCAAACAGAAAAAGTCATCTAATCCTTTCAGGGTTATCTGGCACGATAGGCATGTATGCACACATATCCTTGACCTCCACATCAGTCATGCCAGAGATTGGTAGTAGAATTCACTTTTGGTTGGACCACCTTCAGGCACAGAAAGGACTGATACTGGATACTGTTTCCCTTGTTAGCCCCTTCCTCAGTTTTTGGTCTCAAGAGACCGACTCGAGGAATGGTGCTGAAACTTTAAAGTTTTGTATGCACGTTATCCTTGAATTCATTTGCTCTGCAGTCTTTTTCAAGTTAATACACACGTAGTTCTCTTCCCAGTGTTGTAAAGCTTTGAGAGCTGTCTGGAGAACTGTGTCCACTGAGGCCACACGAGTGCTTCTTCTAACAACCAACACTTATAGTCAAGCTTATAGACTCTGACTGCAGCAAGCGGCTTGTATTGGCAACCTCACCCAGCATCACTCACTTTGGCCTGGGCTTCAGGATGCTCATTTGCCTTGGACCTGTTTGGCAAAGACATGCCCTGTTCAGGCAACCACCCTATGCTGAAATGTTTTATTTCATAAGTAAGAAGTGATTTTTCTGGCAGTGCGGTGCATTCTTGCATACTCTTGGTTTTTTTCACCTTTGCTATTTCTATGTCTCTAAAAATCTGTGTGCAGTCAGGATGCATTATGTTGTACCTTGACATAACCTTTCAAGTGGCAGTTTTGCTATCTGTTGTCCAACTTCTGCAAGTGTTCTCAAACCTGAGGAGTGTGTTCTTGCCATCCTGTAGGCTTTTGTCTGTGTGAATTCTTGGTTTGATGTTGACAGCATACAGGAAAGAACGCTCTGCTTCTCCTGTTGTCTAAAAATAGCCTCTCTTCATAAACTGCAGACCTCTGTGGCTTTTCTTTCTATCAAAGAGCTCTTGTGTTGTCTCTTTGTTCCAGAATTGGGGTCTGTGTTCTCTGCAACAAAGCTCTGATACATGATTGTACTCAGGGAGACTGGGTCATGGGAGAAGGAACACTTGGTTCTCTATCTGCCTGTAGAGTTGGTGACTTGTCATCAGCCTGTATGAAGAGCATCATGGGGTTCACTTTATTATCTTTCACTGACTTTGTCCAGGTGGGAGAAATTTCCAGGAGTTGCGTACATCTGATACCTGTGTGCTGGCAAACACAACTGGCTCCCTGGCATTCAATTCAGGCCACTTACGGGAAGTCTGTTTTAGACTCGAGTACATAAGAGATCCTTCTCTTTCTAGTTTAGTTTAAAAGTATTATACAGCTGCAGGCTTTCTGATTGGTAGCCAGTACTTTTTCCGCAAAAACAAACCACTTGAAGTTCATATCTAGAGCCGTGGCTTTTTACCAGAGGGAGGTTCTGCAGATCAGCAAACGTGATGTTCTCAAGAGCATTCAGACTCCCAGTGGTGCCGTTCAGACGTTCTCTAGAAGAAAGGTGGCTCTTATAGTGTTAGTCCCAAACAGTTGCCTCAGAGTTACGCCTTTGCCTGCTTCCTCCAGTTCCATAGAGCTTTGCTTCTGTTAGGCATGGTGGGAGGGACAGAGGCAATTAGACTGATGTGCTTTCAAAGAGTAGCAGGTTCTGTGTGCTGTAACAACTGTACCCTCAGCAAGAAGAGGACACATACTGAGAGTGTGACTATGCAGTAGCAGCACTTAATTACAGTTGTTCCTGAGCAAACTTTCTTCTACTCCATAGTTATAGGCTGCCTTGCTCACCTTGTGTTTTAGAAGTGAAGTGACTTATCTGGCAGATTCTAATCCTTTCTTAAATAAAAAAAGAAGTGAGTGCAAGTGGACTTGTGGTCAGAAGAGGAATCCTCCGGATGTGAAAGCTATGGCTCCAGTGCAGGCTGGAATTAAAGTTGCCAGTGTTGCTGAATATATTCTTATTCCTGTAGTGCCTACCCAACTAGGAAGGTCAAACTATGTCATCAGAACTGCTGGCTGTATTCGAGAGATTCTTTAGTACTGCTGACTGTGCAGTAGCCAGACAGGCTATTGCCATGTTTGGGCCCTAAAGTAATAGTCACTTTGGGGTCACTGACGATGTTAGGCCCCTATTTATTGCTTCATGTAGTTATTTCTTACAGCTGGCTGGTATCTGAAAAATTTCCTATGTTTACTTAAAAGAATTGGGGCAGTAATTCCCATGGATTTAAGGGGAACAAAGATTCAGTGCACTATGATCTGCTCTTTGATACTCTCTCTGTCCCCAGCACCATTCTGGGCTACACTTCTGAAAGCTCCTCTTCCCTCTACTTTAAGCAAAAGAGAATACTTGCTGAACATGGGGCAAAAATCTGGGGAAAGGAAGCTGCTAGTGTGTTCTGCAGAACATCCTTCTCTCTGCTAGGTGAGGAAGTACTAGAAGAGTAGTGCCTGTGGCTTGTGTTGCATCAGAAATGGCTAGTACGTACTTGTTCCTGTAACACCTGTTTCAGTGTGGGAGCAGCCCCTTTGCCTAGCACTCCTTGCCGCTACTTCAGACTGCAGAAGTACATGCACTAGCAGGATTGACCACTGTTTTTCTTGTTCTGCATGTAATCCTGGATCATTCCTTTTTTTTTCTTTTTTTTTTTTTTCCCTAGAGCCACCTGTGCACTGCAGGAAGAAAAGAGATTAGTTTAATAGTAGGGTGTTGCTGTTACTATTGCACTGAGTTTTGGGAAGAGGAATGAAATCTTTATATGCTGGGGGTCATCTGTGGAAGAAAAAGGGAGTAGGAAAGAGGGAGGGTTTCTCATAGTACTTAAATGCAAAAGCCATCCATAGTCCATTAATTTATTAACTTTTTTTTCTGTGCCATAAAATGCAGGGTAAATAGGTCTAAGGAGGAAAAGTGTCAAATGAGTGGGGAGCTTTGGAGAACTTGTGATGTGGATAGGAAAGACACCTACAGTTCCTAAACTTGCCACTGGTGTTCCCAGAAACTGGAACGCTCCAGCTGCTTTCTGGAGTTGTGGTCAGATGAAAACATCCCTTGTGGGAGGTCCAAGTTGTTTTCTATGTACTCTTCCACAGGATCCCCATGCAACACCATGTTGCATCTGTGCACATCAACAAGTGGACCTGCAAAGGGAGCATGTTGCAAGATGTTTTACTGTGACAGGTTGAAGGTACTCTGAGTGTGAAGGAGAACAGTGTGTTTAGACAGGGTGTTTGATGCTGCTGCTTGCTTGTGTTAAGCAATGTCAGGAGATGTTTCTTGTAATTCTCATTGGGAGTGTATGAACCAGTCACAGCTGGAAAGAGGTGATGGTTTTGAATTAAAAATTCTTTTGGACAGATCTTGGAGTGCCCCAACAGAACTGAGGCCTCAAACTGGAGTGTCTTGTAATGTCTTCTGGTGTCCCTCAGACGTGGCAATATATTAGCATGTGCCGAGTGAGACTTGCAGTAGAGCATAGGGGGAAGCTTAGTGTTGTGCTAGTGTGTTTCTAAATAATGCTTCCAGGCACTCAGCTGATACATATGCTTTCCTGTCTTCAACATACCTGACCTCTAGGGTTCATTATACATTTAACTGCAGTCTGTCCAGAATCTATTTTCAATTCCAGGCGAAGGTGCCAGGAGACTGAGTCTTGCTTGGCATTAATTCTGCTATTAAATTATGTGGCCAGGTATGTAAGTATTGATTTTGCTGCCAAGATCTGTGCCCAGGAGAAGCTGCTGGGATGTTGAGGAAGGTAGTTGTCTGCTGAAGATGGTGCTAAGGGACTGTAGAGTACTCACAGAAAAAACAGAATTTCCAGCTTCCTAGCCTCAGAGTCGACCGTCATCTTCAACTTGGTCACAGGTGTCTTGTCTCCCTTGCCCAGTCTGGTTCTCAATTAGAAACACTAGTGTTCCTCATGTAAATTTATTTTAAAAGGGTTGGAGTCAGGGCCAGATTCTCGGTCTTGTCCATGTTTTGCCATGATTCTGACCTAGCTGTCTCTATTGATGTTAAGTGCTTGCTGTTTCATCAACTCATTGACTTCTATCTTGTTTTACTTCCCGCTTACGGGCTGCTCTGTTACCAACAGTCTTTCATAGGATATTTGCTAATGGTGAGCAAACGTCTCCGCTCCTGTGATGTGACTACCACTATATATGTAATGTACATTACTTTATTTGTGTGTGTGTGTATATATATATATTTATATATATATATATATGTGCGTGGGTATATCTATATTTGTAACTCACAAACATACACACTCTCTGTAATTTATTTATACAGTGTTCCCTTGCTATAAGGCTGGTATGTAAAACTGTTCAGCTTAGGTGCATCCTACTTTGAGACCTTGTGTTCTGTGCTGGGATGCAAACTGTTCCTTGTGCTCTCAGCCAAAGCCTTACAGAGAGGAAGCACTGCCCTTGAAGTCTCCTGGTTGTTAGTTCTCTTCCTCTCCTTGTTCTTAGAGTGTGCTAGTCCGTGGACCCCAGTGCATGCTGGCTCCTGCATGTCAAGCCAAGTGGATGCATTGTTCTGAGCTCTTCCCAGCTGAACTTTCTACATACGTTAGGCTCTTTCCTGCTGCTGCGTCTGCTATACTTGGCTGGGCCCCAAACCTGGAGTAGCCTTTGCTTTGTGCTTGGCTATCCAATTGCTTGCTTGTAGTTTTAACTCCTTAGATGTTTTGTTTTTAAGATGAATGTTTTGGTGAATGTGTCTGGCTCCTGATGGCCAGAGAGACATCCCACCCAAATGAGTCCCTGATTGTGAAGTAAGGTTTACTATTTATGTTTCCCCAGACAAACCACTGGTTTTTGGGGAGACTTGTGCATATGAGGAGAGAATTGGGATGGCAGGGGCTAGAGAAGGATGTGAGTGCTGCAATTTGTAACCCTCTTAAATAGAATGCTGCGTTTCCATTTTAAATAATTATTTATTTTGGTTTTTTGCTATCAGGGTTGTTCTCGATGGCTAGAGTTTGTTTCTACTGAGTTGAGAACCTACCAACTGTCAGCTGGAAGCAGTGGAGAGGGAAAGACCTGTCCAAATGGGCTCTGTGCCTTCTTAGTGTTTGCAGGTGGAGGATGTGGCATGCTGCTCTGCATCACCAGCAGAGTAGAATTTGAGAGTCTCTCTCAAAAAACTAAATCTGGGATGTTGCGTAGCTGAGGGGGAAGTTGAGGTAGTCGGGGCTTGTGGCATTAGAAGGGCGGATTTCCTTGGGGATGGCTTGTTTACCAGAGTGCTGCAAAGTGGATGAGTCAGGCTGTGGCAGTTGTGTGTGGCAGGCTGCCTTTGTGGGGTGGCAGAGGCAAGGTGGCACACCAGCAGCATACGGACTGGTCCAGGAACAAGCCCAGAGTGGGAACATGACTGAGCCTGGGCTTCAGCCACGTTGATGGCAACAAGGCTTAAGACTAGCAAGACATTTCTCAGAAATCAAGTCACTGCTGTGAGCAGAACAAAAGGCCTTTGTTCTAGCAGGGCAAGAAGGGCCTCCGCTGATGGTCTCCAGGCTTAAAAAGATGCTGTGGTATCTCACTTGTGCTGAAACAGCATCAGGTGGCCTTGAAATACTGAGCTTTCTTGGCTGGTTTCTTGAGAACTTGTTCTAACAGTACTGTCATATCACTATGTACTGTTCATATGAGAGCTGGAAATTGTTTAATCCTTAGGTCTTGAACAGTGATTTGGGTTTGAAAACACTAAATATAGGGTATAAAGCTCCTGTTTCGCTTGAGCATTGAGCTGATAATGTTGTGAGTGACATACTTTCATAACTATCTTATTTTAGTCTTTACTTCACTCTTTTTGATTTTGTTACCTGATGTTTAAAGACTTGTCATGCTGTTTTTCACATCCTTAAGAGACATCTGAGACACTTAGTAGGTGATGTAGAAGTAAAATAGGGGTCACTAGGATATCTTAGATCTGCCTTTTAAAAATTTTTTTAACTAAGGCAGGTGTGGGTTAGAGAAAAAAAAGGATAGTTGAAATCAGCAGACATAGAAAAATCTATCATAAAAATGGAAGACTTTCACCTGTGTTGGCATTCCTTTGGGAAGATTTAACGTGAACTTAAGTAGTTCAGCTTCTAGCCTTACAGTTTTATGTGTAGATTCAAGCTTGTCCTCTATCAAGCCAAACATTTTCAGTTGCTTAGAAACTTGGCAAAAATAAGGCAGACTTTCACAAGAAGAGGAAAAGGTTTGTCTCTGACTACAGGTGTTGCTGGGAATGAGATCTGGCAGATGGATAGTTTTGAGTGGAACTTTTTTTGCCCAGAATGCTTCAGAAAGTCCAAAGTGATATGGAGGTTGCTTTTTTTTTTTTTTAAAGGCCTTGTCTCACCTTGGTCTGTATTGTATTTTAGTGGTGTAAAAGCCTGTCATAAAGTGAAGATTCTTCACATCTGGATTGTTTTTGAGAAACTCTGTTCAACAAACTGGATGGAATAGCATGAGGTTAATTTCTAATTGTAATAAATTGATAGGCATCTCGTGATCTAGCTGCTGTTATGATTACTAGAGTGGCAAAAATATTTACCAGAGACCTGCCTTGATTTTTGTATATGAGCACACACCTCAAGGCAGGAGGAGCAGTCATAGGTAAGTGACAATCAGTGGGCTTCTAATTGCTGTGGTTAGTTTTTGAAACTGCAGCTAACACCTGACTGAATGTATGTGTGTGTTTGGGGAGAGGGTGGTGGGTTTTGTTTTGTTTTTAAAGTCATTTAGTGGTGAGAATTCGTGTCTTTGGCCTTGTTGCAAAGTTACCAAGTGGAATGCATACTTAACAGATTTACCTCCTACTATGATGTGATGGTGGTAAACTCTCATTTTTATTTTGCAGAAGGTTTAAAAGCTGGCTCTTGCTTCATATGCTTGCCTTTCTTGCTCAGTATACCTTTGTGCTGCTTTGAGTCATCATGAAAACGCCAGAATACAACTATCTTCTAGGCTGGTTGTAATTTTCAATTAAATAGGATCTTCTAAAAAGGTTTAAATTTACCAGTTTAGTGCTCCAGGTTATGACAACCTGCCTTTTCTGTGGTCAAATTTATTCTTTTTGTGTTGCATGGAAGGTGCCTGCTGCTTCAGCTTTGCTGGATTGTGATTTTTCTCTGCCTGTATGTGGATTTCCAGGATGTGTCAGGGGACATGTCTTATAGTCATCCAGGTCTTCATTTATGCATTTTAGTATTAGTACAGCAGTTGCGTATTACCTACTCCTTTTGGGGTCCTTTGATTGAAGGCATGTGGAACATTAGCATTTTAGAAGGCTCCTTCAAGCTAGTTTTTGAAAGGTCACTTGAATACAAACTTAGCAAGTATTTACATCCCTGTGTACCAGTACGTGCTCAGGGCTAACCTTCTGGAAACCAGCTCTGCACATCAGGACTTTGGTGTCCTTGCTTGAACAGTGTGGTTGGACAAGGTGACCTCCAGAGGTCCCTTCCAACCTGAACTATCCCATGATTTTATCATTCTATGTTAATTTCTGTGGAGAAGGATATGTCTCTCAAAGTACATGAATTTTTGTATGTTATCAGGTCTCTGTTGCAAGTACCACTGGTTCTGCTTCAGCAGTATTTTCTTTGAAGTAAAACATGGGCAATGTTTTAAGCAGAGATTAGTTATACTACTCAGAAGCAATGTCAATGGATGAGAATGAACATAGATGTAAGCAGCTGGGGGGCTGTTATCTGGCACTGGGAACTGTATGTAGTGAACTTTTCATGTACTGAATCTCTTTGCCCTTTCATCTCATTAGATATTCGACTGTTAAAAATAATAAAATCCTCTTGCTTCTGGTGACTCAGTGTTGCAAGTAACTTTGCAAGCACTGTTTACAATCCCTGATCTAAATCTGCAGGGCTGTAGGATGCTTGTATGCTGTGATCAACTTAAATCTGCCACTGCTTTTCCTGTTTGACTCAGTGTTTAATGGCTATATGCTTCTTTTTGTTTCCAATAGCTTACTAGTTGCTTATTTTCCAGGCTTTGCCTTCCCTAATAAAAATGCGTTTGTCATCTTTGTGTGCACATGAAGTGAACTGTGAAATGTCTTCGTTTTGTGCAGTCTTGTACCCTTTTGCAGTAGTGAAAATGTCTTGAGCGTATGAGTGTAGGGGATAATACTGTGGCCTCCTACCTATCCTGGCCCTCTGGCCATCCCTTGATAATCGTAAACAGATGGTCTTGCTTTCAGTTGATTATTTTGAGTCCTTGTGGTGCTGGTGCAGTGCAGCGCAGCATAGGTAAGGTGGTTAATTGTCCCCTGTTGCTGGATTGCATAGCAAGCCTGGGACTAATCTTAGAGGTTAGTTGTTGATCCTTCTCACTATCATCTTGTTTTCCTCTGCTTTCTAAGCCTGCTGAAATCTGGAGTACAGTGTACTTGAGCACTTTTCTAGAAGAGTGGAGTAATGTACTCTTGCTTCAGAGAATGCTTAGGCACGTGCAAGAGACCGAGTGGTTTAATGGCCACTTCAGGAGGAAAGAAAGGACTGTTGGGCAGACTCTCTTTCCTACGTGCAAGGAGGAAGTGTTGAATGCAGAACAAAGGCAGGTGTGAATTGGACACAGGACAAGAGGAAAATGTCTTCTGCAGCATGTAGTGTTTAAAAGGGCAAGTCACTGTGTGATTGGGCATTTCTGCTAAAACCTGCCACTGGTGACGGGTGGGAAGTAATACTACCAAGTGCATTCTTTGCTGACACTCCTCTTGACTGATGGGTGCTCTTATGAGCTGTCTGTTTACCCTGGTGAGCTCTTTGCTCTAGCATGTCCTTGAGGGTTTGAGAAGTCTAGCAAGCTCTGCATGTTCCTGTAGTAGTACTGGTTATTTCTCTTTATGTTTTTATTGTCAGATTGAGTTCAGCTTGCCAAAGGCAAATTGCTTGTCCTACCTCTACTGTACTTCACGTCTCTTGCTATCATCTGCCCTGCACAGACACTATATTTGGCTGAATCTTTTTCTAAAATTCATCTTTGCTAATTCCCTACCAGACTGATCAGTCATGTGGCGCTGTCTTGTAGTCTGCTCCTTGCTGTTGTCTTCTGTGTGGCTGAGAAAGGCATGTTCGTTGTTAATGTTGGTAATCTGGCTTTCCTTTTTGACCTTCATTGTTTGTTTTGCTTAACATCCTGTCCTTAGCCTTCCTGCATCTGATCATTCACAGAATTAAGAGTCATCACTAGACATAGTAGTGGATGGCAGGTAGCAACCATGTGTGAATCAGTCAGAATAGCTTGTGTCAGAGGTACCTCTCTAAGTGTGTATTCTTATATTGTACAGTTAAGAGTTTGTTTTAAAATGTGTGCTCAGGTGAAGCTCTTCTTAAGCCTCTATCTGTGCTAAGTGGCTTGCGCACCAAGGTGGTGGACCTACAATAGTGACTAGACTAGACCAAAACCAAAGTTTCTTGTCCCAGCTTCTAAAACACTGTCACGAGGTGTTACCAGCAGTTTTGTCTGCTTTGTTTAACATGCTTGCAGTGAGTTTTTTCAGAGGTGATTTCAATAGCAGGTTGTTACTGTCACAGTGATGAATGGAACAGATGTGCATCTGGCAAGGCTGTCTCTGCTTAGCTGTAAGGTATACAGTGAAGAATCTGGTAGTCTTATGCTATTGCTCTACTGTTGCATTGCTTCAGCTCTGCAATAACAGAGCAAAGTTATGCATGTGACTTCCAGCTAAGTTGCACAAGAGGTGTGATATAAACCTCTAGAACAGGAAAAATTCTTGCCAAGTGTGGCTAATCAAACCTAGCTGCAGAGCCAGTCTGCAACAGTGACAGAAAAACATGTTGAGGGATTCCAGTGGGACTCTGCAAGTTTGGAGGCACAGGGACCAGAATATCAGAGGAGACAGGTCCCTGGATGACTTACAACAACAAATTCAAAACTGCCTTTCTGTGTGTCTGAGTTGGAAGTTCCCACAGACAGTGCAAGCACAGCTCTTTCTAGAAATGCTGGTGCTGCTGCAAAATGTCCATAGGACCTGGATGCAGAGAAGCTTATTATCAAGTCCTTAATGAGGTGCAGACAGCCATTATAGATAGAGGTTGGGCTAGGATTCCATTGTACTTGCCTTTCTGGTATGGGGGTGCCTGTGTTACGTCACTGGCTAAGGTTTCTGTTGATAATGCATTTTTGTGATTGATTACTGCCTCTTCCCTACAGGGCCCAGGGGCAAAGGACAGAATGGCTGGATAGCAAACTCGGCCTTGCCATCTAACATGTGGTAGTAACAGTATTTAAAGACACATTTGAAAATGAAGCTAATCAAAACATCATTTGGAAGATGACTTTATACTTGGCTGATTCTGCTCCACGTTTGGGAGTGTTGTCCTGGGTAGTATTGTTCCAGAGTTCCTGCCTGAGGACATTGGTCCAACACTTGATGGCATGGGCTGAATTTCTGCAATGCTGTCGCTGTTGACACAGTGCCTGTCTCTCAGGGCAGACCTTGATGCCCCTGCCCTTCTCCAAGTCTCTGGCTCTGACCAGACAGCGATGCTGCCCTGGCAGCAGTTCAACTACATGCAGGATCTTGGTGGTGGTTGCCAGACCTCTGACTGTACAGAACTGTGTAGCTGAAGATGGGTTTTGGGTTTCTGTTTAGTCTTACAATCCACTGTACCAATAAGAAAGGCAGAACGAATAGAAGACTTATTTTGTAAGTGTTATTTTATATCCCCAGATTGTCTAGTTAGTTCCTGGTAGTAAGAGGCTGTCATGTATGCAATAGATGTTAGGTTTAGCAGGGTTCACAAAAACACCAGTTTGATTGTTCATGTATATTGAATGCTGCACAAAGACATCCAGTATTCCATAAAAAAAATAAAATTCAGACCTTAAAGCAGAAGGGTTTCTGAAGTCTTAAATACCCTGTTCTGCAAAAACTGGGACTAAGTAATAGTTCTTGTAGACAAGGAACAAAGACATTTGGGATCAGCGAGATCCTATGATTGCATTACAGCCTAGGTCTCAGGGGAATGCCAAAATCTTAATGGTATTGGACACTGAAGAAAAATTTGTTCTTGATCACAAACTTCACGGCATTCAGGTGGCTGTGCATCTGTAGCAGTATTGCATTTCTGGATGTGATTGGCCTCTGGCCCTTTATAGGGCTATAGTTGTCCTTATCTTGACCATTCATGCCCACCAGTAGTGTACTATAGATTTAGGTGAAATTATTTTTAGTTCCTGCAAGTCTCCAGCAGAAGTTCTGCAGGTCATGAGTGGCAGTGTGTGTGTGGTTTGGGGTTTTTGTTAGTGGTTTTTTTGTTTGTTTTTTTTTTTTAAAAAAAAGGCAGAACCTCATTTGACAGTATTAAATTGTTTGTTTTTACAGTGGTGAATTGTTCTTTTGAGTAGAAAAGAATTAATTACTTGAGAGGATGGGGAGTGGCCAGTACTCTTAAGCCTGATCTTGATTCCCTGGCCAAAGCATCCACAGAAAGGAAATGGGAAAGAGCAGTAATGATGAGGAAATCCAGCTGCTGGAGAAGACCTGACATAGCCCTTCTTCTCTTACTAGCCGCCTATAGACCACACATACACAGTGGCTACTTAAGTTGGATATGGCCTGCAGACACAAGCATGTTAACAGGACTTCTCTGTTGTGGATGTCTGGGAACCTCTTTAGAAGGTCCAGTATGAGAACCTGTTGTGCTGGACAAACCTTGGGTGATTTACCCTGTATGCCGGGTCAGGCATTGGCTGGAGGCATGGTGACAGGGTAGAAGCTGAAAAAGGGCTGCCCCACTGGGCAGGGTTTGGAGTCCTTCAGGCACTGATCTCATTAATGTGAGGCTGTTAATAGAAATGTGGGGAATGTGTGATGTGATGTTGAGCTAGGTCAGGATATCCTCCAGAAGCACAGGAAGACATTAGAGGACTGGACAAATTCCAGTTGTCAGTAACTCAGTAGTGCAAAATACAAAGCTGCACAAGAGTCCAGAGCTCATCATTTGGGAACGGAGGATTCAGGCACTGATCTCATTAATGTGAGGCTGTTAATAGAAATGTGGGGAATGTGTGATGTGATGTTGAGCTAGGTCAGGATATCCTCCAGAAGCACAGGAAGACATTAGAGGACTGGACAAATTCCAGTTGTCAGTAACTCAGTAGTGCAAAATACAAAGCTGCACAAGAGTCCAGAGCTCATCATTTGGGAACGGAGGAGGGTCTGGCGTCTACTGGCTGTTCAAGGGAGGAATTTGATCCACTTGACTAGTGTGGAGGGTTAAGATCCCCTGGGGGCGAGTCCCCAGTAGAAAGAACTGGTGTGATTGTGCATGGCCCTGGCCAGAGCTCATCTAAAGCAGTCTGTGTTACTGGGAAAATGCAGAGCAGGTCTTAAGAGGAAGACAAAGGATTTGGCTTACTTTGGTTAGTACTGTGAAGCTGAGAGGACCTCCTGATGATGTCTGTAAACAGGTGAGCGCCAGGAATGAAGTAATCTTACTGGACTCCCAAGGTAAGAGCTAGAACAGGAACAAAAAGCAGTAAACTACTTGTGAACAGTGGGTTGCAAAAGTAAACGCTGGCCATTGGAGCAAGCTCCGTTTCCAATGCTCAGATAAGATAATATGATTTGGTATGTTCCACACAGCAAGATTGAGCTGAGTTACCAAGGAAGATCCTTCTTGTCTGACTAGAGCCCAAAGAACTTCTGTCCTCTGAGGGTGGGAACTAGTTCAGTCTCATTCAACTGGGAATCCTCTTTGGTGTGTCCTGCCCTGATCCAGGAACACCTGGAAAATACAGGTGGTTTGGCGTATCCCATGTAAGTCCACACTGTAGCAGTACAGACCAGGACCAATTGTGATTGTCCAGGAGGCTGACAAAGTGGGAGATGGGCCTGAGGCTGTGGGACCAGGCATGTTCAAGAGTGGACGCAGAGCTTCAGATGGGATGGTGACTCTGTGCTCCACCTACCTCAGTGTTTCTCCCTGGCAAAGAGAGCTGCTTAGCTTTGGAGAGTCATTTGCAGTCTTTTCAGAGGTGGCTGTCCTGAAGGCTTATCTTTTACGGGAGGTCCATACTTGTGTTCTGTTTGTTGTTCTTACGGCTGGGAGTTAGTCCCTCCCCATAGCTCTGAGTGGTTTGTGGTTGTTGCTGTGGAGGTGCTGGCTGCTGGGAGGCCTCTGCTGTCAGGATGGTCATCTCTCCTTATTCAGCAGCTTTGCTTGACTTTTGTCTTGAGGCACTTTGGCACCAGTGCCCTGCTGATACGTGGAGGAGTTGCCTTGTAGATCTATCCCTCTGCTAGAGCCCTGAAGACGTGACTAATTGCAGTGGTCTTGGCATCTCTGGCTGTTCCTAGGGCTTCTGTTATTGTTGAGTTGCTTGTGAAAAATGCTATAGGTCTTATTTAAGTTAGGTGCTTTCAGGACTCGCACTCCAACAGGGAGTCCTTCCCGGCTTGTCTTCCCATTCAGCAGATGCTGTGGTCTCCAGGTTTGCTCTTGGAGAGTAATGCTAGGCTGCCTTAGTCTATCTGCAGCCAAGGAAGCAATGGAGAAATATATCAGGGCAGGTGACCTGAGATGAGGGACTGATGAAGGGCCAACAGAACTCTACTGTGCTGCCCCCTTGGGCACCAGAGGGCCCTGGAGTCACATGTGTTCCCTAGGATCTAGTTGGGGATGGGCTACGGTTTCCTATATCCTAAGCATTCATGACTTTCTTCTAGTGGCACCGGACACAATTAACAACCATGTGAAGACCTGTCGTGAAGAGCAGAAGAACCTGCATTTCTTTGCCCCGGAATATGGAGGTATGGTGGGCCTACAGCTGCAAGTCTGATTTTGTAATGCTTCCAAACTGTTCTGCATCTTGTTTTCCAGCTTCAGACTCATGACAGATGTGACATTAACAGTTTTGATTTATTTGCCTGCTTAAATGCTTCAACTCCTCTGTCTTTTGATAGCAGAGGAGGGAGAGAAGGCTGCAGGATGATCATAGCTTGATACAGAGGTGATCCTGCTGGTACTGCTGAATGCAGGGATGGACTGATAACAGAGTATTATTTCTGTGTTACAGAAGTTGCCAACGTCACCACTGCTGTGGACATTTACTCCTTTGGGATGTGCGCACTGGAGGTGAGCGTGGAATGCTTTGGTTACAGGACAGAGAGAGAATGAATTTGAGGGAAGGAGATGGCTCTGTGGAGATGCTGTGGTTGTGGCTGGGTTAGCTTGGTAATAAGTGCACTTTGTTCTCTGAGCCAAGTGGACTTTGCCTTGGTGGGATCCCTATCGAGGCTCCCCCAAATGCCTTCCTAAGAAGTAAATAGCTCAGTAATGTGTAGTTCTTTCTAAAATTCTTAATGTGTAATTCATTACTCTGTGGGTCTTGGCCAGTTCTAAAGTCTGACCTACTGACTGGTGGGAACAGTCACTACTACAAACTGTACTTAATGTACATGGAGAACAAAACTCCCCTTCTGGGGAGTACCTGTTCTTCCTGTGGTGTCTGGAGAGGAGAACAGATGTAGTCAGTAACTTTTCTGGGCCAGCCTGATACAGGTGCTGGTTGCAGTCAGGTGCGAGTTTGATGTACCTGATCTTAGCAGCTTAGTGGTTCCTCTATCCTTGCAGTCAGTAGGCCCGGGTCTAGGAAGTGGGAGTTGTTGGTAGGAGGATATTCTGGGAAGAATTGTCAGAGAGAGCCAATGCAAAGAATTCTCAACCTATGCTGCACATTCCATAAGTTAAGCAGGAAGAGAACTGTGGAAACACACAACTTTTAGGAAGCAGAACTTGACTTGAGTCTTAAGATGTTCTCTGCAATCTTTTGCCAGCCTTTCCTAGCTGGGAATTTGTGTATATGTTGGCTGTAGCCAGTTCTGGATGGTGCTGTGTGCTTGCTTTTCTTCCTGTAATACAGAGCTATTCATACAGCCAGGAGGGACACTGTTGGATTCTGGCAGTGATCCAGTTACTGCTTCATTAGAGGATGGGAATTATCAAGCAGAAGTACAGGCCAATGGATCATGAGATTCAAAATGGAGATACTTACTGTCTAAGGTGATGCTGGCATAGTTTTCAGGTTTCCCTGGCAATCTGTTAGGGTGCTAGAAACAAGCTATCATAATGAGGCATTCTCTCTCTGCCTGCACAAACTGTGACCTTAAATAGCACCAAACAACTTGGCTGTTATGATCTCATGCTTGGCAGTGGTCTCCTTGAGCTCTGTTGAATGTAGTCAGTAATTCTCAGTGAAGTCTGATGCGCAGCTTTGTGTTTGCAGATGGCAGTGCTGGAGATACAGGGTAATGGAGAGTCATCTTATGTGCCCCAGGAGGCCATTAACAGTGCCATCCAGCTGCTGGAGGACCCCTTGCAGAGGGTGAGTGAGGAGGGATCAGCACCCCTGCAGACGTGTTGGCATTGCACATGGTCTCATGCAATTTTTGTCTTTCAGGAGTTCATTCAGAAGTGTCTAGAACAGGACCCCGGCAAGCGTCCTACTGCCCGGGAGCTCCTTTTTCATCAGGCATTGTTTGAGGTGCCATCATTAAAGCTACTGGCTGCTCACTGTATCGTTGGACATCAGCGTGAGTATGGAGTCCCAGGGCACCACATCTCGTGTTCTGCAAAGCCACACTAAGTTGTCAGTACAGCTGGCATCCTGGAAACCAAGACCTTCATGCTGCTCTTAACAGGCAGAGACCAGGGCCTTGTGAAACAGAGCTGCGGTCACTGTGGAGTCTGGAGGACTATGGTGCCCTGCCTGCCTTGAGTGGCACAGGAGTTTAACAGCCTAAAGCCTCTGGTTTTTTTTATTGCTTTTGTTAGGTTGGAAAGGAATTGCAGTTGTTCTAACTGTGGGTGTTGTGGTTTTTGTTTTTTGTTTCTTTTAAATAGATATGATTCCTGAAAATGCTTTAGAAGAAATGACCAAAAACCTTGATATGAGTGCAGTGTTGGCAGAGATTAATCATGTGGACAGGGAAGGAGTCAAGATGATGTGAGTACTCTGTGGTGTGCTTGGAGGGGGCTGCTCAGGTGCATGTGGAACAGATGCCAGGGCAGTGGAGTGAGCACTAAATGATCTGCCTGGGACTCCGTTCAAGTTAGGGTTGGTATTTCACCACTAACCAGGAAACAAAAGGGAGCTGATGGTGCTGTTGTTGAAGGAGCAGTCACTCTCTGGGCACAAAAAATTCTGTGGAGGGTAACTCCTGGCTGGAAGACCTTGCACTCATGTTCTGTGAACAGATTCCATGCAGCTGAGGTTTGAATTGTTACCCGGATGAAGGGGTGGGAAACTAACACACTGTAGTTGGAACAGTCCTTAGCAAAACCTGGCTGAAGAGTTTGGAGAAGTGACTCTGACCAATCACAGGCTTGTTAAATGGAGTTCAGCATGTCAGAGAAATGGTTCCTCAGTGTTTTCTTAATGGAGCAGCTTATTCTACAGTATGCAAAGGGAAGGGCTGTTTTGGGCAGCTATCAGTAACACCCAGCAGCCACTTAACTATAGAGGTGGCTCCCTAAGTAAGTGACCATAATACGTATGGAGCAAGTAGAGTGCCAAAAAGGGATGTTAAATTTTGCATAATGAAACCTCAGCTAGTTAAGGAGTTAGCTGAAAAGACAAAGATGTGGATACTGTATTTCCAGAGAAGACCAGGGTCCTTCCAGGGTAGCCCAGCATTCTGGGATGCTCAGACTAGTGAACAAAAGTAATCAAGATGACAAGGAAAAAAAGCACTGTTCATTGGAGAAGCTCTTTGAACCATATAGACCTTTCTAAAAACTGATATTCTGATCTTCATAGCGCTAGTAAATCATAGTATTGAATTCCCTTTGGAATGTTTTTTGTTAATTAAAGGTTCAAAAGGGAGGATAAAGAGTGAACAGCCAAAGCTATGCAAGAGAGATTCTTCATATATATTGGATCTTCATATATATTGGACTTCAGTCTGCAGAGGATTAGCTATCTGGCATATGCCAGCCTGGGACTTGCTTTTTGGTAATGCAGTAACTCAGAGGTGCTGGAAAAGGAAAAAGAAAGCATAGTAATGACTTCAAATGTCAGAGAGCGTCATTTCTAGATGATTCATCAGAGTGCCACGCAAACTGAGCTGCTAGAAAAAATGTGTAGATTTCTGCTGAAAACTACTACTGTACTAGAGGATGGGAAAGTAACAGCTGGTGTGTGTGTTGAAAAGGGCTGGAGAGTGGTCTGGGGAACTGAGGCAGATGTGCAGCCTACACCAGATCTGATGGAACAGCAAAGCACTTGGGGAGCATAATGGCAGGATTTGAGCAGCTTGTAGTCTCTGGCTGGAAGTCATTGTTGCCACATGGGGGAACTGTATGTTCTTGAGGATGAGAAAGAAGAGCAGCAGTGGACATATGGCTAGTTATGGCACAAAGGGGAAGGGTCAGTGCTTGCTATCCTCCATCAGCCACCAGCATGGAGCATGTTCAGTGGAATCAGAGGCTGGGCAATTAAAAATGAGTTGGTAGGAAGACTTCTTCTGGGACACTAAGAAGCCACTAAGCTGAATGAGCAATCTGGGAAAGAAATTACAGAGTGAACAAAAGTAACCCAAACTCCAGTGAGAAATATTTGGGCAAGGCATTAAATCCTGAGGTGTAGTTTCTAGTTTCTAGTCTGGAGTGATAAGACTGGTCATACTGTGCCATCAGCTGATGCAGAGATTCTTGCCTTTGCAGTGCTGAGTGCCCTTGCTCTTCTGGAGATGGGATGCAGGCTTCATGGGTCTGGTATAGCAGACGTCTTTGAAAAACCTTGCTAGGAACATGGTTTTATTGGGCTAGCTTCCAAATAATTGTTGGCATTGGACAACTCTCTACAGGGAGGTGATACCTGTTCTGCCATAATTAAAATGTTACCTCATCCTTAGCTTCTATGAATAGTTGCTTCCTGTACATGAAGATTTGGAGTCTGTCTTGCCTTCGGCTGGCTGCCTCTGTTCGTACTTATCCTGCCCACTGACACAGTCCCACTGACATGGGGATTTGAAATTGCATCCGAAGAGACTTGAGTGGATGGTTCTGTTAGATGACTTCTCACCGCAGTACTTTTTTTTT